TGTTTTGTTTTTTCAGAACCAATATAAAGATACTTTGAAAATCAGTGGCATTAGCAGAATTTCTAAGACATCAAAGTCAAAGGGTAGCATGGTATGGTGGGAAACTGAGACCTCACATTCATTGTTTGTAGATATGGGTTTTTGTGGGGGTGTTTTTGGTACTGGGGATTAAACCCAGGAGTCCTTTACCATTGAGCCACATCCCCAGCCCTCTTTTTATTTTTTGAGACAGGTCTCGCTAAGTTGCTTTAGGGTCTTGCTAAGTCGCTGAGGCTGGCCTTGAACTTGCAATCCTCCTGTGTTAGCCTCTGGAGTGGTTGGGATTGCAGACATGCACCACCATGCTTGCAATGGATATTTGATGGCATTGTGAAGAGCAATCTATAGCACTCTGGAAACTTTATGTGCATATATGTGGTAAAAAACTCATTGTCCTTGAATAGAAAAACAGATAAATTAGGACCTACTTATAAAAGTGAATACCATTCAATTGTTAAAGTGAATAATCTAAAATTATTTTAACACAAGGGATCAATCTCACAAATTAAAACAAGTGCTGTGTGATGGCACACACCTGTAATCCCAGCAACTTGGTAGGCTAAGGCAGGGAGATCACAAGTTCAAAGATAGCGTCAGCAACTCAGCAAGACCCTGTCTCAAAATAAAAAATGAAAAGGACTGGGATGTGGCTCAGTGGTAAAGCACCCTGGATTAAATCCCCACAAAAAAAAAAAAAAAAAAAAAAAAAACAAGCTGGAGCTCTAAAAAGATTCAGTATAATTTCTTAAACATTGTAGAATGCTGTGTAATATTTATGGGTTTATGCATAGTAAAACTATACAGTAAAATGATACTTAAATATTATGAATACTTCTGAGAATGAAGAGAGAATGAGCAAATTTTGTAAAATGCTAATCTGTTTGTCATGCACATGGTTGTCTATATCAGTTTTCTCTACTTTTCTATGTTTTTGGTTGTTGTCATTGTTTTGCAGAGCTGAAGTTGAACCCAGGGCCTGGTGCTTGCTAGACAAGTACTCTGCCACTGAGCTACACCCTCATCCTTTATTTTATTTTAAGACAAGGCCTCACTAAGTTTGTATAGGCTGGCTTCCAACTTGCAATCCTCCTGCCTTAGCCTTATGAGTAGCTGGGATTACTGTTACATCACTCTGCCCAACTTACTTTTCTGGATGTTTGAAACATGTAATGTCTTCTTATTTTGAGAATTTACATTCTGTAATAAGGAACTCATTCTACAAGTACTTTGAACTTAAAAGTTCCACAGTTAGGTAAAAAAAAAAAGAAAAGGGCTCTCTAGATGCAGTGGCACATGCCTATAATCCCAGTGGCTCAGGAGGCTGAGGAGGAGGATTGTGAGTTCAAAGCTAGCCTCAGTGACTTAGCGAGGCCCAAAGCAACTCAGTGAGACCCTGTCTCTAAATAAAATATAAAAACAGGGCTGGGGATAGGGCTCAAGGGTAAAGTGCCCCGGAGTTCAATCCCTGGCTACCAAAAAGAAGAAAATGGACATCTCTAATCCCAGAAAAATAACTTCTTCTGTTCCTCTCTTAGGAATGTTCCTGGCTGATATCATTGAGAAATACTTTGTTTCCCCAACCCTGTTCCGAGTCATCCGATTGGCCCGTATTGGGCGTATTTTGCGTCTAATCAAAGGCGCCAAAGGGATTCGTACCCTGCTCTTTGCCTTAATGATGTCCTTGCCTGCCCTGTTCAACATTGGCCTTCTGCTCTTCCTGGTCATGTTCATCTTCTCCATCTTTGGGATGTCCAATTTTGCATATGTGAAGCACGAGGCTGGTATTGATGACATGTTCAACTTTGAGACATTTGGCAACAGCATGATCTGCCTGTTTCAGATCACAACCTCAGCTGGTTGGGATGGCCTGCTGCTGCCCATCTTAAACCGGCCCCCTGACTGTAGTCTAGACAAGGAACATCCAGGGAGTGGCTTTAAGGGTGACTGCGGGAACCCCTCAGTGGGCATCTTCTTCTTTGTAAGCTACATCATCATCTCCTTTCTCATTGTTGTGAACATGTACATTGCTATAATCTTAGAGAACTTCAGCGTAGCCACAGAAGAAAGTGCAGACCCTCTGAGTGAGGATGACTTTGAGACCTTCTATGAGATCTGGGAGAAGTTTGATCCCGATGCCACCCAATTCATCGAGTACTGTAAGCTGGCAGACTTTGCAGATGCCTTGGAGCATCCTCTCCGAGTGCCCAAGCCCAACACCATTGAGCTCATTGCCATGGATCTGCCAATGGTGAGCGGGGATCGCATTCACTGTTTGGACATCCTTTTTGCCTTCACCAAGCGGGTCCTAGGAGATAGCGGGGAGTTGGACATACTGCGACAGCAGATGGAGGAGAGGTTCGTGGCATCCAATCCTTCCAAAGTGTCTTACGAGCCAATCACTACCACACTGCGGCGAAAGCAGGAGGAGGTGTCTGCAGTGGTCCTTCAGCGCGCCTACCGGGGACATTTGGCAAGGCGGGGCTTCATCTGCAAAAAGATGACTTCCAATAAGCTTGAAAATGGAGGTACGCACCGGGAGAAAAAGGAGAGCACCCCCTCCACAGCCTCCCTCCCATCCTATGACAGTGTAACTAAACCTGACAAAGAGAAACAGCAGCGGGCAGAGGAAGGAAGAAGGGAAAGAGCCAAAAGACAAAAAGAGGTCAGAGAATCCAAATGTTAGAGGAGAGCAAAAATGAAATGTTATATCAGTTTAAAACTTGCAAGTGAAAGATTGTTTACAAACTTCCTGAATATTATCAATGCAGAACAGCTGTGGAGACACTGTAACCTGAAGAACTATACCAAATGTAGTCTGCTTACCATGTGACACAGTTGCATCTTGAGCAGTGACCTGCCAAGGGCAAAGGACCCTGCTCCCTGGACTCACAGATTTTTCTATTGCTTGGGCAGGTGGTTACTGCATGTTCCACATTCAGTCAATGCAACTTAGGACAAAACTAACAGGATACAAAAACAGGAGAGGCTGCCGGGACCAGCATATTTCCGTTGCAGCCAAATGGATTTTATTTTTTCATTTTGTTGATTCTCAGAAGCAGAAAGCATCACTCTAAAAATTTGTTTGTTCATGCAAACTATATTTGCATTCTTACATTAGTTAAGCTAAGCAGCAAAAAGAAAACACACACACACTCACATTTAGCCCATGTCATTTAATTGTCAGTTTCTTTGACATAAACCACATCTTCTCCACATGGGCTTCACGTGGTTTGGAGATGGGTGGGGGAAAACAATCAGGTTTTTTCAGGCTGAGGAGGACTTGCTCAGGCCAATTCCAAACATTGTGCTCGTTCAATGCGTAGAAATGATTTGCATGATGGCATGCCGTGATCAGAAGTCATGCATGAGATCCATACACCACAGGACACTACTAATCCTGTCCCCTGCATTGGGTCAGCCTTTGGACAGGACCCAGCCCTGCACCGTTCACTGTATTTGGAGAAAATGGTAAGAGTTCCATACCGGCTGCAATTCTTTATATGAGTTCCTATAAGTCTTTCATACACCTTCTGGTAGGGAAACATAGTCAATCAATTGACCACCACCAAAAACAAAAAACAATCCCAGTCCAACAAGCAGATGGATCCGTTGCGTGTATTTGTTTAACAGACATCTCTAACATACAGCCATTGTTGCACATTTTGCAAGATGAACTATTTAATGCTGCTCTGTGTCTAGTACATGGGGAGATTTTGATCCCGAATGGCTTGTACTATTAATGTCACTGTAAAACCAAATCCTAGGGCTAAAAAAAAGTTCATTTGTATTTTGCAATATTTATGATGATTGTTTAGCCTTCATACTGGAGAACTGACACTTAAATGGGGTAGAGATAAAAGTGCTGTTCAGGGTAGCATGTTATCTCTAGGGGGTATTTTGGAGAACTTAAAATGACATTTTGTTTGGGGGTCATGGGGTGCTCACTTCACCTAGTTTCATGCCCTTCTGCATTGTGACTTTCTGTGGGCTTGGGTCAATATGGAGAAGGGTTCAGATCTTCTGAACTGTCCAGAGGGGTTGTCACAAGCTCACACCTGCACACAACTTTCTTGTTGGAGTATTAGAAACTGTCCTCCTGCCTCCATCACATTTCCCCACTGAGCAGGGCTTCCCTTTCCACCCTCATAGGGCTGGGTGAGGGCTGCAGCACTGGGTATGGCTGTGGTTTCATTTGACTGTTACTAGAGCAACAGTCACTGCTGGGACCTGAGGTGTAGATGAAACCACCTCTGAACCAAGCCCACTTGGTTTCTTTACTGCACTGATTTTCATGAGAAAGTGACTTAATATTAATTCTGTAGGGTGTTCCAGCTTCCCCCAGCACATTCCCTCTCAGCCAGTTTTGCTCTCTGCTTAAAGACCTGCCCATTGTCGTTGGAGGGTGGCTTCTGGGGGAGTGTCATCTTCATTCCATCTCCTACCCTATGGATGACAGTGCTAATCCGGGGGTATCTCATCTGGTGACTAGGTTTCAAAGCCGACATGCTGCAGTTGAATGTTTCAGGAAGTCTGTTTGAAGAGTGAGGAAAGACTTTAGCATGGGAATCAAATCAAAATAAATTCTTCCTGAATCATACAATAGAGGGGGAAAAAAAACCCAACCCATAATCAGACATACCAATCTGCCTTGCAGTAGATGTACTTTGGATGTAGTTTCACAGTCCACTTGACTTGTTTTGCATAGAACAAACCACAGCAAGTCAGTAAGCAGAACTTTCTTGTTGGACCATTAGAAACTGTCCAGCTCTCTTAAGCCTGCTTCTGCGGCCATCCATAGAGTTTTGTATTACACCTGATACCAGGTTGGGAAGGCATCTCTTTCAGTGTTCCTGCTGACTGCTAGGATGAATGTAGAGTACCATGTACAGGCTGCATTGTAAACAGCACAAAACAGAAGCTGACATGTGTGGTTATTTTTAAGAGAATTATAAATACTGTAATATATAATTTTATTTTATTGGCATGCCTTTTTGTAAATACAAATTAACTTATTAAATAGGAAATGGCTTCTGGCTTATGCCATTGTCATGTTTATTTTTATTTTTTATACTTTTTTTTCTTCTTAGAATTTAGATGCTGTCAGCCAATGTACATCCCCAAACCAGACAGACAGACAAAAAATTTTTTATTGCTACTGGTCTTTTCCAAAACAACAAAAAGTATATATTTTTGTTCCAATGTGCAATAAATTCTAACCACTTCTATGCAAGATTTGGCTAAACTTAATTGTTCTTAGGTCTTTAGATGGACAACAGAGCTATCCAGTCCCACTAGGTACAACAAGCGCTCATGCTAGTGATGTCATTAAGCTACTAGAGCCTACTAATGAGATTTTTCTGAAATCTGACCTTTTTCCTCCCCTCCACTCCTGATCCCAGCCCATCGGGCCACCTCCTTAGTAACACATGGGCCTTGGTATCTGACACCCATCAGCCAACTTCATAGGAAAGAAGCCACCTCCGCTGTATCTGAAGTTTTGTGGTTTTCTTTTCTTTTTTAACTTTTCCCACCTCTTATCCCTCGCCCACTATCCCTCCACCCACTCATTTACTCTCTCACTCACCCATCCTGCTCCACACCTCTTTGGTAGTAAATGACACCATCACCAGCAGTTTACACCCGCAGTTAACAGGCATTGAACTGAAAGAATCAGCGATGGCGTTCTGCACGCCCTCACTGAGTGAGTGGCAACGCTTTGCCAAATATTAACAAAGCCAATCAAAAAGCAGCAGCAGCCACAGTATCACTGCACATATATATATATAGATATATAAATATAATATAAATATTTATTTTTTGTAGCCGGGTCCTTGGTGCAGTATTTATACTCCACAATCCACCTTTAAAAAAAAGGACAAAAAGCAAAAAGATGTGTGATGCTGTTAATTTAAAATGCAGAGCCAAAGCCACTGAGCAGCAGCTGCCATGGTTGCTGGTTTGTGCGTGAAAACACTTTCCAATCCCCTCTTCTGTCCTTAACCTCCTTATTGCTTAGGATAAGGAGAGTCCATAATTTAAAGCAGAGGGTGAGAAAAGAATAAACTTCCAAGTCAACACAACCTTCTCTTGCTCCTTCCTCAGTGAGCTGCTTTGGGCATCAGAAGTTGCTGGGGCAGAGAAACAGAAATGCCCGTCAAAGCCCCTGGAGCCACAGTGCCCGGGGGGTTCTTTTCTTTTTCGCCACAACCAATGTAAACTGTAAAAGACCAATAGTGTATTAGTGAATGCATGGAGGCCAACGCTGCCCTAAATGAGACGTGATTTTAAAAAAAAAAAATACATCACTACTATAAGCCAAAAGGAAACAAAATAAAAATGACCCTTTTTACTGTACAAGGGAAGCCTGTCTTGGTGTGCATTTGTTGCTTGACCGTCCCAATTCTTGAGTCCGGGAGGGGTCTGGGAACTGGGACCTTAGCATATTTGGGGAAAGAAGGGAAACGGGAGAGAGAGACACCAGAGGGTCTCGCATTTCTGGCTAAACTGAGATTGGAGAGAAAAGCCAGGTCTTCACCTTCCCAGATCCCCACTGAACCATTGCATGTGGTACCCACACCCCAGGCTGGTGCTTAGAGGCCCTTAAAAACTCCCTTCTCACCTAATCCACCTGGCAGAGCCCTCAGCTATGACTTCAGCCAACCCAACTGGACTGGCCTCACCTCTGCCTTTTCCATCAGTGTGTTTATTAAAAAAAAAAAAAAAAAAAATACCCCCCATGCTCCAAAGCTAGAGCAAGCACAAAATGCCCAACAGCCTCTGCTCTGCTAGCTTGTGCTGGGCCCTGCCCTCCATCACCCCCACAGGTAGACCAGCAGACTAGTTCTGTCCATATTTGTGCAGAGGGGCACCCCTCCTTAGGGACACCCCCCTCTAGGCTGTGTCTCCTGGTCTAGGAACACTCAGGAGGATCTTGAAGTGCCCACTCTAGCTCGCTCCAGTAGCTCCACTCTGGAGATGTGGCCCGTAGGTCCGTTCCCATTCCCGGCCCCTGGGGCCCCAGCCTCCAGGCTGCTGTGGCTGTGAGATTGCCATGCGTTATGGAGTCCTGGGCATCTTTTGTACTGATGCCTCTTTTCTTTTCTCAGATGTTGCCCAAAGTTTTGCAAAAAGCTTCATTCATTTTCAGGTACCCCCTAAAGAATCAGCTGCAACTAGTCAACCAGGGGGACATCAGGAGAGAAGAGGAAATCTGGTTGGGGGGGGTGCCCAAGATTTGCACCAGAGTCTTCATTGTGGCTCTGCTCTGTGCTTTCTTGGATTCCCTTTTCAAGTTTACCAAGATTTCCTTTATAAAAATACTCCTGAGGCACTCCCTGCCCCTGCCCCCCACTGCTGTTTGCTGTACATAGAGGCTAAGTGGGGTGGGGTGGGCGGGTGTGCACATGTGGTGTGTGTGTGTGTGTGAAGAGTGTATATAGGTAAAGGGGAGCGTGGTCCAGTGGTTCCAGAAAAGGGACAGAACTCCTAGGTTCTATTCCTAGCTTGACCACTGGCTCGCTGTGTGGCCTTGGGCAAGTCACTTAACCTCTCTGTGCCTCAGTTTCCCCATCTGTAAAATGGGGATAATAATACTGACCTACCTCACAGGGGTGTTGTGAGGCTTTAACTAAATGTTTTGTAAAGCGTTTTGAGATACAGAGGCAAAGGCACTAGGGAAGGGCAAAGTATTATTTGGACTTAAGGAAGATGAAATGGTACCATAAATGCTGCTATTCTGAGAGCCATTTTAAACTGCACTGCTCCAACCACCCCCGCTTCTCATCACCAGAACAGCAGGTCGAGAAATGTCTCTCCTTTCACTTGCTTCTGGGGTTTCTGATTATTCTCCACATTTTTTCCCCCTTGCTGTACCTCCTTCCCTCATCCCCTCAACTTGTTCCCTGTTCTGTTTATGCGGAAATGGCAGAAATGCTAAGCAATGAGAATGTATAAGTGGATTGGTTTATAGTCTGAAATTTCAATTTTACTTTGTACTGTACATCTTTTTACTTTAGAATTTGCAATAAAGGGTTACGTCAATCTTGTTTTCAATTCTCCTCTTGGATTGGCCTGTCATTCTGTCATGGCTCTCACTCCCAAGCCCTGGACTCAGAAGTGGGTGGGAAAGGTCCTGGGCTCCAGCTAGAACTTCAGGAAGCCTTGCCTGAGTGGGGCAACTGGTAGGCAGCAGCCTCTGCAAGTGGGCGCCCCTCTCCCTGCACTGCCCCTGCACACTCCAGCAGCACTTCAGAGCAAACCCAGGGCAGCTAGCTGTACATATTGTTTTGGTCCCACGTGTGTCTCAAGCTCCCTCATCCGGCACATACCATTTCTCTGGGACTCAAATTTTCAGGTCAGTGGTTCTGAGTTCAAAGCCTGACTATGGCACTAAGGAACTGTGAGCAGGGTTTCCTGATGTCTAACAGAAATACCTTCCTTCTTGGGTTTGGAGGAGAATATCAAATAATGTACAGAACTTCTTTGCACCAGCCCTGCACACAGACTGTGTTCAATAAGTGGTGGCTCTTAGTGGGAGAAAAACTGCAAGATAAGGCAAAACTAAGGCTGTTAAGAAGTGAGAGGTCCGCCCCCACCCTGCGAGACTGGCACCAGCGCCCCTCGTGTTCCATCTGCAGTCCATGGGCTGGGCTAGGCCGGGCATTCCCAACTGACAACCGACTGCTCCCTCCGCTGGGCATTTTGTAACATTTTTATCAAACGTCCAAGGCAGCATGGTGCTCCCGTTTCACCACGGAGGGTATGGCGGCGAGGGGCAATCTGGCTCAGCTGCAACCCGGGCCCGGTGGGCTGGGGACGCGAGCGGCTCTCTAGTCAGGAGCGGCTCTGTTTCCCACCGGCGGTGCGCCTCGGCTGGCCTGGGCCGGGGCACGGTGGGTGGGTCACGGCCTCCGGGCCGCGCCCGGTCGCCATCGCGGCCGGTGATCCACAGCGTGAGCAGGATAAGCAGAGCCCCGGAGCCCAACGCTCCCAGGAAGCCTGTAAGGAGGCCGAGCGCCAGCGGCCCGGCCCAGCCCGCGGGGCTCCGCTCGTACGGGGGCTGCGGCAGGCGCTCCACGATCAGCTCTAGCTCGTCCCAGTTGGGCGCATGATCCAAGGTGCGCCGGGGCCGCGGCGCCGCGGCGGGGACGTGGGCGGCGACTCCCGGAGGTGGCAGGTAGTGCTGCCCGAACTTGCGCAGCTGCAGCGTCGCCTGCTGGTGGAGGTTCTTGCCGAGCTCCCGGGCCACATCGGGGCGACCAGTACGCCGCAGGGCCCGGGCCACACGGTCCCAAGACAGGGACAGGGCTTTGGCAGCCAGCCAGGACGCCAGGGCTTCCCGGCAATCGTCGGAAACTTTCTTGGGCTCGGTCACCTGGCTCGTCGGGACCTCGGTCGCCTCCCGCCGCCGCCGCCACAGCTGGCCTGGCGACCCCGACTTGAGTGTTAGCGGCTTGGGCTTCGCCAGACGATTCTCGGAAAGCCGGGCCAGCTCGGCCTCCACGTCGGGCTCTGACGCCTCCAAGAGTGACCGGAAATGGCCACACTCCTCCGGAGTCAGCAGCTCGGCCAGACGGACGGCCGCGTGAGGGCCCAAGGCGTCCAGGGCCCTCGCCGGACCCAGCGCCCAGCCCCAGAGCGCCAGCACCAGAGCCAGAGCGCCCATCGCAGGGTCCAGTCCAGGACCTCAGCCTTTGCTGGGAGGGGCTCCGAATGCCGGCAGAGGCTGGGGTCCTCACTCCCAAGGATTGTGGGAGGGCGGGGGCTCCGAACCCTCAGGAACGCAAGTGCGGGAAGGGTCTCCGAGCCACAGGGAGTGGGGATAGATTTTAACACTCGGGGACTATGGGCTAGAGGCCCCAACCACCAGGATGAGGAGAAGGGCTTCCAACACTAGGACCGGTTGGAAAGGAACACTCACTAAGCCCAGGAACTGCAATGAAAGGATCTGCGATAGCCACGGGTTGGGTGAGATGGGCCCCCAGAAGGCTAGGATTCTGGGCCCTTATATTGAAGGGCTTGATCTAGGCCACCTCCTTATTCTCACTAATCCTCAAATTTGGCCAATTCCTTTTCTAGTTCACTTATCACACCCTTGCCCTCCACCAAGAAACCCTAGACACCCCTGCTCTCCATCATCCCCAATACCCAGTCAAGTCCTAAATTCTCTTGGGGATGACCTTGTCCTTTCTCATTCTTGCACAACTGCTCTGCCTCCATCCTAATTAGATAAGCACCTCCTCTGGTCGCCCATCCTACACTCACACTGGGGCTCCATTTCCCTAAACTTGTTTTATTTCCCCCCAAGAAAGCTTGGCTCTGGCTTTCCTTTGGCTCTTGGTTTGTACTTTTAGGCTGCCTAAAAAGTACAACTCCCCTTGCTTGCTCCCTGACTGGCAAACACACACTGCTTAGCCCAGACTACATAAGCACCCCTCTGCTTGCCCCTGCCCCAGCACCCTGTAGCTCTACCTTTCTACTGTTTCACCCACTGGACTAGCTAATGCTGACCACACCCCCAAAGGATGCTGATGACATCACCCTAGATCCAGCCACTAGACTGTGATGTATATCCACTGTCCCCATCGAAACCAACAGGTAAGAGGGGTTTAGATTTGTTGAATCAATGTATAAAATAAGCCACATTCCCCAGTCCTTTTTATTATTTGAGACAGAATCTCACTAAATTGCCCAGGCTGGCCTGCCTCAGGCCTTCCAAGTAGCTGGGATTACAGGCATATGGCACCTCATTGGGCTTAAGCCCCAGTTCTTAACAGGGAATTTGGAGATTCTACTGGTAAAGTCCCAGCTGACTTCTCCAATCTCACTTACCTACCCCTCCGGCGCCTATTTCTTACTTCATATTCTTGGATTTAAAACAAACAAACAAACAAAATCACTCTGCTGCATAGTCCCACACAAAAGATGCTGATGATACCATTTCTAGCCTCCATGCTTTTCTGGGCCATCCTATCTAGGAAGATCCCTGAAACTCTATCACCACCACTGGTTGGAATCTTTTCTGGGCATTCTTGAGATAACCTGTGCATCATTCATCAGGACGCTGATCTGGAAATTAGAGAATTTATTCAACAAACTCTTTTTTCAACAGTGTCTGCTATGCACTAAATAGTTGTATCAAATGTGAGAATATAAAGATTGGCATGGGGGCTGGAGGAGTAACTCAGTGGTAGAGTACTTGCCTAGCATGTGAGAGGCTGAATGCCTGGCGAGCATTCTCTATATAGAATGAATGACAAAGTCCCCCAAATAACTTTTGCTGAAGGGACAGAAATATCCACAGAGCCACAGCAAGGATACTGGCAGACCTGAGGGCCCAAGCATTCTCAGAGGACTCCCCACATCCCATCGCCCCAAGAAATCCTCTGGAAACCATATGTCATCACTTTAATACTGTGTAATTCTTTCTTTTAAAATACAGTCTCTTCTGAGGTAGACAGACCACAACTGCAGAGCATCATCAGACAGGAGATAAATACGTCCATGTACAACACGCAGCAAAATGAGGTAGAAATGGTTACAGCTGGAGGAGAGGATCCCAACCCCAATCTGGGAAGAGGAAGCAGAGGGCCAGTTTGCCCTCCCCCACACCCTGCCCTTGGATTCTTTGGTATGCCCCCCCCCCAATGTTGCCAGGGCTGGAGCTGCCCTGCCCTTCCTGCCCTATGCCTATGAGGTAGGTGCCAGTAGACTGGGGGCTGTCTTCTTGTGCAATGCTCCCCAAGCCCGGGAGGTCAGAAAGGGCCCAGCAGAGGAAGCAACGGGGACCCTGGGTCTTAGTCAACAAGCTCCTACCCACCTCCAGGGCTGCCTGCCTTGAAGGGAAGGCTGGGATCCCAACCCCACTTCCCGCCACCCTCCACCCTCCACTCCCCACCCCACCCCACACACACCTGAGAACGAATCCCCTCACTCCATTCTCCCTTTAAGGTTCTTTCCGAGCAAAACCTTGCAGCCACAGCTTCTGAGGCACCAATGTTCTGCGAATCGATAGGCTGGCTTCAAGGAGAGAGGGTCAGAAAGATCCAGGGTGAAGAGGGGGAACACACAGCAGCCCTCCTATTAGCACTCCTAGGCAGCAGGGGCCCTCAATGCTCTGGCTCTGAAGTGTCCCACACAGACACACTCCCTGCCAAGAGAATAGGGTGACAGCTATAGGAGCTGTAGGGCAAGCAGCAAAGGCAGGGGAGGCTGGGGTGGGAGAGAGAGAAGGAGGTGGGGGGTGTTCCCCCTTTGAACCAAAACCACAGAATTGTGAAAGCTGGGAGGGGAGCAAACTGCTAAAGCCCCATCAAAGAAGGAGAGGAATATGGTTCTCAAAGAAGAGCTCCAAGCCTGCTGGCAAATTTCTGGGGGCATGAAAACTAACCCCCCTCAGGGAAAAACACTCTTCCATTCCAGGCCCTGAAGTGTCAGGCATAGGAGTCTAGGAGAGCAGGGAGGCGCACTTCCTTACACAGCTTTCTCTGGTGAGGGATGCTTGCCCCTCCTCAGAGCTCACAGCAAAGGCGGTGGCTGAGGGCTAGTAGTCAATTTTATGCCTAACCACATTTGTGGCCAAAGGACTTCCCTCTCCAGGGAATCCTCTTTGCCCAAGTCATAGAGGATTTCTGCCAAAGCAAGGGCCAAGTGACCTCTCTGGGGACTTTCTGCCTGGGTCATCTTCCCATCTGGGCTCTCCTTCTAGGGCAGGAAATGGGCAAGGGTACCCCAACTCTGGATAAACCCTGCACAGAAAACCTGAAACTAAGGGGTGGGGCCCAGAGGGGAGAGCAACAGGAAGGGAGCAAAACCTACCCACTTCAAATCCCACATCCCCTTCCCACACACGGTGCCTACTGGCTGGGTCCCGGGGAGGAAGCCCTTAGAAATACATTCTGCTTCTGTCCCAGGAACAGCCAGGGATGTGAGTGAGCACTGGGTCTTTCTCTGCCCTCCCACAAGCCTCTCTAGATTTGACTCTTCTAGAAGTTTGCTCTCCTGGGGTGGAGGGACACACAGGAGAGCAGCCAAAGTCTAACATTCTTTCTGAGGTCAGTTTCTTCCTGAGTTGTCAAAATAAAAAGAAAAACATCAAATTCTACAACATCTTACAAAAATAAAAAGCCTAAAATATTAAACAAGCTACATTTCTGGGACTTCCCCTCAAAAACAAACCAAGTAAAAAACCCTTCTTTGGGTGGCTTTTTTTTTTTCTTTTCTTTTTTTTTTTCACTTGCCCCTCAGCCCCCAGACCCAATGTTTCAGCGGGGTAAGGGGTAAGAGGATACAGGGGGACTCCGTACTATGTCCTCCTCTCCACCTGGGCCTCCAGATCTCCTGCAAATGGTCACTACAGTGTGAATGAGAGGGACAAAAGGCAGGGAGGAGCGTTAAAGCACAGAAACCAAGAGACACAGGGATGCTGGAGTGCAAGGGACACAGAGAGTGAAAGACGGAAAGGTGGGAACAGAAGGAAGAAGCAGAAGAGGTACAGGGGCAGCACAGGGAGGTCAGTGACAAAGTGACAGGAGAAAAAAACTGAGCGAATGCACGGAAGAGGGAGTGGGGGAGGAGGAGGGTGCCATTCTGAGGAAACCAAAGGATTGTGGTGAGAGAGCAGGAGTTCCTTAGGGCCCAGGTGCCAGCCCACGCAGGGTGTGCCCGGTCCACCGAACTGAAACGGAGAGAGATCCCATCCACAATAAATAGGAAAAACCTGAGTACACGGCGCATATGGCATCGATCTGCAGGCAGAAGCATTTTCCTTCCCACGGAAAACAAATCCACCAGCAGAGCCCTCTTGTCCCCCACCCACATTCACCACCCGGACTCCCTCCCAGTCGAGTTTGGCCAAGGACATTCCCCGCCAAACTGAGGAGGCGGGGAAGGAGGGCCGATGGCTTCCAGGCCTCCCCCGCGCGCCATCAGTGTCCGGAGCCATACATTTTGTCCCACTCCACGAACGAGTCCAGCTCCTTGGGGGAGGCCCTTGGGCCCACCTTGGCCAGCGCCGCCTCCAAGTCCTTGTAAGAGAGGGGGCGCTGCAGCCCCGGGAGGCCTGCCCCAGCCGCTGCCTGCTGGCACAGCTGCCCCAGCTCGCCCCCTGAGAAGCCCTGGGTGCCCTGGACTAGGGCCGCGAGCTCCCGATCGTTCAGCGCGCAGCCCTGCTGGGCCAGAGCCCGCTGCAGGATCTGCCCGCGGGCCGGACTGTCGGGCAGCGCCACGTAGAAACGGAGAGCGAAGCGCCGGCGGGTCGCTTCGTCCAGAGCCGCAGGCCGAGAAGTAGTGCCCACAACTAGCACGCCATCTGCCCTCGCGCCGCAGCCACTGTCCAGGCAGGCCAAGAGCGGCGCCTGCAGCGCACCCGCGGCACCGTCGTCTCGGGCGGGGAGCAGCGCATCCAGTTCACTGATGAGGAGCACAGCCGGAGGACGGCAGCGCGCAGCCGCGAAGGCGGCCTGGAGGAGGCGCGCGCCCTCGGAGGCGCCCGGCGCGGCAAGACTCGCACCGCGCACGCGCAGCAGCGTGGCGCCTAGCTGTGTGGCAAGGCAGCGACCTAGCAGCGCTTTGCCGGCACCCCGCGGACCGAAGAGCAGCACTGTCCGCGGCGGGCGCGGGCTGCCGGGATAGACGGGCGGCCTCAGTAGCGGCCACACCAGCTCCTCCTCCAAAGCCGCTTTGAGCGCGCCCTGGCCAGCCACGTCCGCCCACTGCACCGGGGGTCCGCAGTCCACCATCTTGCTGGTAACCAGCTCCAGCGTACCCTGGTCCACACCCTTGGAGGGCTCCACGGGAGGCACCGCGAAGCCCCCATGGGGAACCGACGCCGGGGCCCGCTCCGGGAACTTTTCAAAGGGCTCAACTTGCGGGCCGTAGACTGGGGAGCCCAGGACCTTGAGAGGGACACCGCCACCGTACTTGCCCGACGCCTCTTCCGCGGCTCCCGGCGGCTTCGTCCGGAACCCGTTGCCCCGACACTCGCCGTTGTCCGCGGCGGGATAGGAGGCGTTGTCAACCGCTGGGGCCTTGGCGGGCTCATAAACGTACTTGCGGTACCGACCCTCTGCGCCCTCGTCGGCCGCCTTTCGCTTCAGTGACACGCCGGCGTCCGCGCCGGGAGTA